GACGACGAATGGTTGGATAGCAGAGACAATTTTGCGGCATTTGCTTTTATTTGCGAACCTGAAGTGGAGCAATTCTGGTCGAAGAGGACAATCTAGGCAACTAGCATAGACCATTAAGGAATAACAAACGAGCAAAAAGCAAGGAGCAGATTCTTGACGGTTTTAGGAAGTATGAAAAATCGTTCAATCAACACCGCCTTGAACACGATCGTCCCAGATCAAATGGGCGCCTTAAAAGGTGTGTGAAGAAGATGGATATATCGGCGGTGTGAACAAAGCGGGTGGATGGGTGAGTCTTCCTGATTTAATGTCTTCGTCTATTATGGTATGACGATTTGCATGCCATTCTGCCACCTTCCGCGAAAAGGGGAGGCCTAGAGGGGGCCAAGCAAGATTTCAAACTATTACCTTGCAAGGAAGGCTTATAAGGCGCTTACTCTGTAGTATGCTATGATGAAAATGGGGTACGATAGAGGCGCTCTCTCTATTTCTCTCTAACTCTCTCTCTCTCCCAGGGGGGGAACTACCCCACCATCTGCCTGTCTCTCTGCATGTCTCACGCCTCGTGGGTATCTCTTTGCTCCTCCCAAAGAAAACAACAATCTCCAAAGGGTCTCCACCTCAAACTGATCCTGAGGTGCTTTTTGCTCTGGACTGTGCCACTCAGTCTAACTATTCCCCTGAGGGAGACATAGAAAGAGAGAGAGAGAGAGGGCAGGTAAAGCAGAGAGAGAGAGAGAGAGAACTGTTTGTCTGAAAAAGTGAGTGGATCGTCGCGGGAACCACTGAAAAGACGCGCCCCAGTTTGCATAAAGGGTACAAACACCATACCCCAAGCCCTGGAAAGGCTGGAAACCAGTGTGCAAAGTTCCAGGAAAATATTGTTTCAAGCGTAGAAAGAGGCAAAAGCAAGCAAAAGCTAACAAAGTAATGGTTTCCAGTTGTACTACGCGGCATGCCGCTTTCCAACAACAGTGATTTTATTCATTTTGAATGACAATTTTACGCGACAGTTATTGTCGTATTATCCTGAGCTGAAAGTAACCCTTCATCCAAATAGGTCCCGCCATGATGAGCCACGATCCGTGGAGGACAACATAAAAAAGAGAAGTCCAAGTCGAGACTCGTCCCCTGCGATCATCCCAACCTACCTCCACCTCAACCCTTTTGCCTTTTGCCCTCACGTCCAGTAATATCTTCTGGCACTCGACCCTTGATGGAGGTCCGCTAGGTATGCTTTTGTTCTAAAGGGACACAAGCAAAGCCAGCGCTGCGTCCGCGGGCCAAATCCTAACTATAGCCTTTTCTTGCCTTTCCCGCTCCTTTAAAAGGTATTGAAAGAAGGTATCTAGGAATACAGATCGCCACTTCCAATCCCTGCCCACCAATCCATACTTCATGTTTTTGCCCATCGGTAAAGAAGCAGACAATTCCCTACAAAAGCAAAAAAGCATTTGAACCTGTCCTCCTTCCCCTGCTTCCTCCTTTCTTCTTTCTCTTCCTCCTTCCCTTCTGACTGGATAAATTTCCACCTGATTCTGGTTTACAAAGCCTCCACCACATCACAAAAAGTGAGAGGGAACGGACTGGTGGGGGAATGCTGCAAAATCTAACAAAGGAGTTGTGGAATGACTGAGCAGACCACCGGAAAATCCGAAAAAAACACAAAAATTTATGAATTTACAACTCTTCTAGTAAGGCAAGCTAGCAGAAACCCTTCAGGAAATTCGATGGAACCTACGGTATTGGAGTGTTAGGTATTATGCCGACACTCAAAATACGGCACGCGCTAATCCCTGAACGACGGTGATAAAATTTTGTCGGGATTTTGCCTTTACAGAATTTGCCAGCCAGGATTCGGATGTCGGGTTCAGCGTGTTTCTATAAATTTTTTATGTGATCCCCTGAAATGATACGATTTATTGAAAGAAAAAAATGTAAAAGATCCAGTTGAGCGCAGTTTAGCTTGTTTGAAATGAGCGACGACTCCTCGTCCATATCACGCAAACTTCTTCAAGCTGGCGGAGATCAGCCCTCCGGTCACGTTCCGCCACACCCCCTGAGGTGTCCATAGGCGCTGCGTGGCGGGAAGCCGCCCTGATTATATTGCTTGATATAATATCAAAACTATAATAATCAGGGTTGAAAAGTTTCAGCTTTTCATGACTTTTCAACCCTCGGTCTGTCTGACTTTAGAATATTCTTCCACTTTGCAGCGATTTTCCCCGGATTCCGATAGTAGCAAAAATGAAAAAGCGGATCCTTCCTTATTTAGTGACGATCGCCAATTCCGGCGCATGCTAATTGATTTAACAAAGAGATTTGTTCTCGAAGGCAACAAAAACTGGGAAATTTAATAGCGGAAAATAGCTGATTTTGTTAAATATCATATGCGCAGTCATCTCCCGGACCATCACGCACTAATGGACGAATCGAAATACACCCCTGGGCTACTTCCCTTCTGAGATACTACTGAAACGACGGTGACGGAAGCCATGGCGCAAAAAAGCAACAGACACACACACAAACATTATTTTTTATATATAGTAGATAACAAACATACTGTCAATTGTAATAATAATTATATAAAAGAATATTATAAATTGAAACCTTTGTATCAGGAAATAGATCACAAAATCGTGATGACTACTTATAATTATGATTCGGGCATCGCTACCGAATTACTGACTGGTTCTCCCAAAATGAGAAGAGAAAAAATATGGGAAAATATCAAACATTAACTATAAACTGCATATCAAATAACCACCATAAAATTACTTACCGATAGCTGACCGTCTTCTTCTTATGCCAAAGGAAAAGCGGACGGCCCTTGAAAAAGCCCTTCTTCTTCTGGATTCCCTGAAACGCGATATTTGCCATTTCACTTTCCACTTTTTTAATTACCTTAGGTGAGGTGGCTTCGATCGGATTTTGTTGACTATGACCTAAAAAAATTATTGATTTTTAATTTATAACTTTGAAATAACGAACAATTTTTATGTTTGTTTATCTCAAAGCCTTCTCATTTCTCGTTCTTTTCGGTTTGTTTTTTGGCCTACCAGGCAACGATGAAGCGACAGAAGTATCAAATGAAGCCGATTCGTGCACCGGCATCATTTCGTCCATCACCGTACTCGTCGCCTCCGTCGAATCGATCCAATGTGATGGGCTAGAGGCCGTTTGGCGGAACGAGGAGCGCTGAGAATCCCTGAAAATTCTCTGGGTTTTAGCGTTTTTGGGGAGCGCGAGCTTTTCTCGAGGAAAAGTCAAAATGCCGACAGCGAAAATCCCGACATGCAAACTAGCTGTTTAAAAGGAAGTGGCTTCAAACTAGCGTCAAGAATATGTCAGGATTTTGGCTGTCGCATAACTGTCGGAATTTCATGTTAAAGTCGATATTTTGATGTCGGGATTTTGGCTGTCGGTATTATAATCGTCGCGATTTTGGCCACAATCCATTTTCCCAATTTTACCTCGAAATCTGCGATGCTCGTGAGAATCTTCTAGAAGAGTGTAGCGACCAGGAGCCGGTAATGAGCGAAAGCCGAATGGCTTAATGGAGCCGTTTGAAGGGCACGATCTAAAATTAGATGATTGACCGAGCGATCATAGCACCAAAAACTAAAACATGTTTGATTACTTCAACTTTCCACGACAAGAAGAAGTGCTAGCTCGCTAGCGGGGGTAGACCTAACTTTTCCTTTTTTCGGGTAAGCCCCCGATACAAAATTTATTGAATACCATTTATTTAAAAGTTATCAATTTACCCGCTCCCCCGCTAACGCACCAGCGCCGTAAGCAGAGGCCCTTAACCTACCTGAATCCGAAAATGTATTCGGAGGAGAAAGGCGGCTGATTTGTCTAGATGAAGGTTCGGTAATAGAACTCGTTGACAGCACCTCATCCTCAAAACGGACCACGCTCTTCTTTTTCTAAATCCAGAATAAGGGTAAATTTCGAAACCAATGGGACTGGACTATTAGCGGGGGAATAGACAAAAAGGTCAAAAAATCATAAAAATTTCGACATTTGTAACTTTTTGGTCAAAAAATGTATGAAAAATGGGCAAAAAGCCAATTTTTTTTCTATGTTATATAACATTCTAGCAATCAAAAATTACTAAAAATACTATAAATAATATAACGGGCGGCATAAGAAAAGATTTAGTTGTTCCCCCCTGCTAATAGCCCAGTACCAAATCAAGTACCTTAGCATATCTATAATCGTATTCATATTCATTTTCATCGACAAACGTCGGGAAATGGCCCTCTTTGATGAAAAGAGGAACCAGCGCTGGTGGCCAGATACCTAAAAAAAGTATTTTTATTAATTCGTTCTCCGTTGAAAAATTACCCTCCACAATCATATGTGTTTGTGGCACGCGTGACAATCGACCCTCTTTTACTTGAATAGCCAACTAAAAAAAGTAAAGAAATTAAATTGATGTAGAAAACCAACCTTCACTAAATTTTCCAAATCCAACTCGGTGAGTATCGATTCTTCGATGCCGATATTCGCCCCAACAGCCGACACAAATTCCGAAATTCGGAGGCTAAAACGGTCATTTGTACGCTTCAGTACAACGTACACCTACGTACCCAGCGGAGCCTAATGGAATTTGGTTCTTTCGCAGTATCGGGGGAGGGGGCTAATTTTTTTGAATCCAATTTTTAAAGGGATAGGGGCGGCATAAGTGAATCGATTACGCGCGGGAAAGAAAATGTCTCTGCGCCTCTCCCCTGGGCGCCCTCTCTCGCCGCGCACGGCTCGCCAAAGGGCACTTTAGTACAGGACGCGCCTTTAGCCGTCCGGGCTCTGTGGGGCGGCGCCGCCCATATTAAAAACCCAGAAAATCTACGTTTTATTCTAATAACTTTTTGTATATGATTTCGAATCCTTGGGAGGCGTGGGAACTTGGTAGAGAAAAAAATTATTTATCGAACTGTGTGGGCCGCGTTGAGAGTTCTCACCAAAATAAGGAGATTTTGAAGCCTAAAGTTTCCGAAATCTGGACCCAGCCGGTCTATGGTTAGTTTTTCAGCCTGTTGTTATCAAAATACGATGAAATTTCGCTAAAAAGTTCGGTAGAGGGACGATACATGCTTTTGAATTCATAACCGAAGTGCTGGAAAAGATAAAACCTTGTCCGATGGCGTTTATAATGTTTTTGAAGCCAGCACCTCAACCCAGAATTATTTGAGCCTTATACGTCGGTTTTCTAGGAAACTATATCCATTTAATGTAGTATTTATCGAAATCGGCTGAAATATGCACCTCCTAGTAAGAAAATAGCTAAAAAAGTCAGGCACTTGGACGCGTGGAGCACGAGCTTCATGATCTAAATCTCAATTTTCCTAACGTACACTCATCAGAGCGTACATCGCTACTAAGCCGAAAAAATTCTAATAGCAAGCTTGAAAGCGGATTATGGAGTGAAAATTTGATTGGTTTCCGGAATACCTTTGCTAAAACGAGTTCTGGCCGCTTTTTGCTATTTCCTGGGGCTCTTTCGCGAGTTTTATTTGATTTTGTGATACAGTAGACTTTCGGTGATGCTATGGAGCAAAAAGCAAAACAAAGATCATCCAAATGGGGGTGTTTGCGTCGGAGAGAAACCGAACCCGGGGGTGTGGGAGGCTCGCCTGGGAGGTTAACCCACTATCCGCGGGGAGAGGGCCCGCACGCCCCAGAAGTGCGTTTTTGGTAAGGCCTGACGAGCGGGGCAGGACCTAGTTGAACCCCTCCCTAACTGGGGGTTCAACAGATGCCGTCCTCATCTCTTTAAAGAGATAGGGGCGGCATAAGTCAATCGATTACGCGAGGGAAAGAAAATGTCTCTGCGCCTCTCCCCTGGGAGCCCTCTCTCGCGCGAGATCGATGGTGGGACCTTGAACCCCCTCCCTATGTGGGGTTCAACAGATGCCGTCCTCATCTCTTTAAATAGTGGAAAGTGTCTCTAAACTATTTTTACTACTCCCAAGCGCAAAAAAATTTAAAAAGGTTCATTAAA